GTTCTTGTAAAGTGGAAGGAAACTTTCTGTCCCTGCTGGGGTGGATGGGGGATTGTGTGGGCTTTTCACGTGCCCTGGCACACTCCTGCTGCTATGACCCTTCCTCTTTTTCCTTTTCTATACTCACAGGAATGCCTTGGCTTGGCCAAAAGAGGATGGGTTGGGCTCATGAACCTGTGCATGGACCACGTGGGAAATCTACTAGGCAGCATGGCCTTCCGCGTCGGCAGGCTGACAACTGGACGGAGGCCCCTCCGTTGGGGCATGCTGTCATTGCATCATACATTGGGCAGGCGCAGGTCTCCTATTTTCCTTCCCTTTTCTTTGATTCAAAACATCAGAGAGGGCGGACCTTCATCAGGGCAAGGCACCGGCCATTTTATGGCTCCGATCTTACTCGTAGGGAGCGGCAGCAGCTCTCCTCAGCATACACTTGTACACAGGCATTGCAGCTGCCCTGCTGCAGGATCATGTCAGACATTGCGAGAGCTCTCAATGAACCAGTCATAATGTCACAGACCAGCTTTTCCCTAGTAAGGAAATAATTAACAATAGAAATGCTCATGCTATTGGTTCCTCCAGTTCACACAAAGGCCAACCCCCACCCCCCACCCCCCACCCCCAACCCCACCCCACAAACCAACAACAACAAACAAATGAAAGGTTCAGACCAAGGGCTAGATCGGGGCAGATTGGGGCAGCGGGCCAAGGGTGGTACGATGGGGGGATGCTCATATCACTCTCCACAGTCGCCCAGACCCCGACTTTCAAAAAAAAAAAAAGGGGTAGCTACGTGGGAGTCACAGAAAAGAGGTATCATTGCACTATGGGCCAAGATACAGTTTGCAATTGCACTTGTAGTTTCCCCCCCAAAAAAGCGTTCAGACCAAGGGTTGGCCCCCAACGGACTGGAGCTACTGGTGGTAGGGGTACTAGAGGGGGTTGCTCGTATCACTCCCTCCTGTACACCGAAACTGGTCAAGGGGAAAAAAAAAAAAAAAAACACTTCAGACCAAGGGTAATGTCTTTTTGTTCTTTTTTTTAATCATTCAGAAGATCCAGAAAACAGAACAGTGGTCATGGTGAATGCACACCTCAGTGGCACATGGGTTTGGACACAAATACAACACCCCACACAGGTCCGACAGCCAACAGCATACATACTGCGGACCCTGGAAGGTAGTCACACCCTGGAGGGTCTATGGACAGTGACAGTGACTGTAAAGAGAGCCAGATGCGTGTTCACGATCATCCCCTGAGAGGTGAAAAGGCCCTTCTTCTCCTTGATTCACCCTGGAGGGAGGGAGGGAGGGAGGGAGGGAGGGTACAGGGACAGGAAGGGGCAGGGCCCACTGGTTCTATGTTAACTTTGAGCTAAGCTAGCCTTAACCTTGTCAGGAGGAATTGTCAGAATCATGCTAACATAAAAAAAAAAGAAAAAAGAAAAAAGAGGGGTAACTAGGGCGCGGTCACGAGTTTCAGTTTTACATCCAGTCCGGGCATCCCTAAAATACAACATATCCCATTCACAATTTTCATTGAATTTTCAAACCGAACCACCACCCAGGGGTCTAGTCCCACCTACAGCGTTGAGTTTTCTCAACGCTGAGCTTTCTATCACGTGTGGCATGGTGGGACGGAGCTCTGCCGTTGATGTACTGCGAATCTAACGGTACCAAAATACAGGAGAATAACCTATTAGATTAAGTCATTTTGTAGAATTTTTATTTGACGTGAAATCCGTGTTGTAGTATGCGTTGGCCCTTTTGGTTTGGGCGGGAAGCCATTTTACGTTGAGAAAACTACCCTACCGAGGGTAGGGTACATTTCTCAACTTCAGTGCCTTTCCTTTTTTTTGTTTTTTTAGACCTCATTGCATCCTGAAACGGAGGAACTCTGACAGCTGTGTTTGGCTGTCTGGCATCAAACTCTTTTCCTTCTTTGGGCAGTGAATGCATTTGGCCATCGACGTCGTCCCTGTCCATTTTACAAATGGTGACCTCCTGTCCCCTCACCACGGGGAGTATCCCTTTTTCACGGAGACGTTCACTCCGACTGTTCCAGACATGTTTCATTTCTCCGAGTTATGTTATAAAAAATAAGGAGAAAAGTTGTTTCTAGCGTTTTTTTCAGTTTTTTTATTTCTTGTTTCGAATTTTTTAATGTCAAAATGGCGTCACACCGTTGAGTTTTCTAAACTCAACAACCGTAGGTGGGACCAGACCCCAGGGAGATAGTCTTAGGAGTAGGTAGTGGAAGGCAAAGAAACAGAAGTAGAGAGAAGAGTATAGGGAAAAAAAAAAAAAAAAAACCATGACAGCACCCTAGTTTTCCCCCCAAAAAAGGAAGAAGAGAATGACACTTTTTTTTTCTTTCTTCTTTTGCCGCGTGGGAAAATAGCGGGCCTCGGTTGGTCCTCTGACTTTTTCGGAGGCTGAAACGAAGTGACGACCGCCAATCAGATTTATCAATGGCAGTCATCGTCGGGCCAATGGCAGTCATCGTCGGGCCCGACCTCCGAATCTTTAGGAGTTTGGGAAAACTGCCACTTTTCCCTATTTTCCCTATTTTCCCTGTACAGTTGTCACAAACATAGCAACAGGAGCGTTGACCCACTACGCGCTTGTGCTCCTCCGTTTTCGACCACGTGCGGCCGTCCGTGACATCCGTCAGTTGTTGATCATTTCCCGTATAGACTGCTAGTATGGATTGTCTTTGTTTTCGTGGATGCAGCTGCCCATCGGCCAGTAGAATTGTTTAAAATTCATTTGTTGGCCATTTAGTTGGCCACTTTGCGTTGGTGCGAAGCTTCAATACTATGTTTTTTTTTGGGGGGGGGGGGTGTTTTTGACGCTTCGCGCCTTGCTATTATTTTTTTGCAGAAAATGATAATATTGAGATTTCCGTGGAAGACTGCGAACAGGCCGGCAGGAAGCTCGCATGCAGATGTACCGGGTTAGTGGAAGTGTGGATGCATAGCCTGTACTATCATGATGTCGATGCCCCGGGGGAGAGAAGAAAGCTCAGGAAAATAACTCTAATGGCCATATGCCCAACAATCACTGTACCACAAAGATGTATCCAAGGGACGCTGGACCAGATTTCCGGCAGGTGCTGCTCCCCACCAATAGATGGAGCCTCCCGGGCGGTGCTAGATGTGTCTGCTCTTATCAGCACACCTAGCATCCGATCGGGTTGTTTAAAAAAGAAACAAAAAAAAACGTGGTTGTTTAAAAAACAAAAAAAACAAAAAAAAAAACAATGATGTCGATGCCAGGGGCCAAGTCCCACTAGCATCGAGTAAATCGGTGTGTGGCGTTCTTTTCTCATTTAAAAACTCGTAAACAATGCTTTTTATCATTTACATGAATGCAAAGAAAAGGACCCAAAAAACGAAAAATTACGGGGCCTGACATCGACATCATGACAGAGCTTCAGTGCATCCACACTTCCACCAACCCGGTACATCTGCATGCGACCTTCCCGCCGACCTTTTCGCAGTCTTCCACGGACATCTCAATATTCTCAATTTTACCACATAAAAAAAGAAAACAACATCGATGCAAAAACGCCCCCCCCCTTGGACCTCCCTAATATTGCAGCTTCGCGCCAACACAAAGTGGCTAGCTAAATGGGCAAAAAAATGAAAAGGAAACTCTTCTATTGGCCGACGAACAGATACCCTAACGAAATAGGTCCTTATGGCCCTGCCCCGACGATACACAAAAGGATCAACGGTCGCCGGATGTCACCTCGCGCCGCACATGGTTGAAAACCATGGAGCCGAAGAGTAAATCGACGCTAGTGGGACCTAGCCCCAGATCCTGTGATTTTTCGTTTTTTGGGTCCTTTTGCGTTCTTAAATGAGAAAAGAACGCCACACACATGTTAAATGCTGGTCGGTCCCAGCCCCAGTGGGTCTGTCCTTTTTTTTGTGGGGGGGGGGTGGGAAACTCCATATGCGGGAAAACCCACTTAACCGGTGACCGAGGCTCTTCCAGCCCTAATAGAAAAAAAAAAAAAAAAAAAAAAAAAAAAAAAAAAAAAAAAAAAAGAGTCATATACAAAANAAAAAAAAAAAAAAAAAAAAAAAAGTGGGTCCTGACATTGAAGGCTCTATCTATTGGTGGGGAGCTGCACCTGCTGGAAATTGGGTCCAGCATCCCTAAACATCACTGTGCAAGGCCACCATCTGAGAGGGGTGAGAGAAAGTCCGGAATTGAGGCCTTGCAAGGGGATGGCTCCAACCTGTTGGTGGGGAGCTGAACCTGCTGGAAAATGGGTCCAGTTTCCATAACAACGTCAAACTCTGCCTTCCATCTATTCCCAGGGCTTCCGCCCCAACACCCTCTGCTGTATCCAAGACATCACTTACTCTGGGCCCCGTCAGAGGGCGAGGTGTCTCTGTCACTGCTCTCGAGTTCTCCCCTCAGTAAGGGAGTTCTGAAGCATTCTGCAGGTCTCAGACACCACTGCCTTTCCTGGGCCAGCCAATTATGCTATGTAATTCCTCCATCGTCAGTGACCTTGCACTTTTTTTTTTTATCGCTCCGATCTATTTGTGGGGAACCGGGCCCAGCGCCCCTTATAAAAATGTACTGCGCAATTTGAAATACCGGGGCCATTACCCGGCCTCAGCTAAGAAGAACAGAGAGATTCATGAACAACTGCTAAAAATTTTAAAAGTCTTCTGAACAATCAGGAAATTCTACCGAAGTTCTATAGAAGATACATTCTAAAAATTTGCAAAGTGGGAAGACCACCGGAGCTACCCAACCATCACCCACTCCCTCCATGGCGGAAGGGAAAGGGAGATGAAACCAACTCTTTTGAAGTACACGGACCACTTGCCACTATCTGCCTCGGCCAGGCCTTGATTGGCCACGTGGCATCTGCTGTTGTGGACGGCTGTGACGCGCGGGCAGGGGTAGCGCCAGCTGTGAGATCGATGAGGAGATATATAGGGGCGCAGCTGTTTGAGTGTGTGATGGAGTTGGTGGGGGAGCTACAACATGGAGATACTCTTTTTGACACGGAAGGCACCATCTTGTATGCAGAGGATGGTGGGCAAGATGAGGAAGACGTGGTCAACTACTACACTAATATTTGTGCAGGGTGTGTGGATTGGGAAGTAGAAAGTGAGATGAGCCGTGAAGGGGCTGTGTGGGACAGGGATAAGCATAAGGGGGGGTCTGGCGGGTGGTGGGATAACCTGATGGTGCTCTCTTATCAGGTCGACGCTGAGAGTGCCGTCACTGACGGGGAGGCAGGTGAGTGGGAGGTGGAGCTGGGGTTCATGGCAGCGGCGGCAGCTGCAGTGGAGGAGCGGCAAGGAATGGGCGAGATGGACGAGAAGGGGGAAAAGGATGACAACAACAACAACAACAACGACGACGACGACGACGACGACGACAACAACAACAACAACAACAACAACAACAACAACAACAACAACAACAACAACGACGACGACGACGACGGCAGCTACAACGAGATGGGCGAGAAGGGAGAGAAGGATGACAACAACAACAACAACAACAACAACAACAACAACGACGACGTCGGCGGCGGAGACGACCACGGCAGCAGCGAGACAGAGAGTGGTGTTTGTGCACCCCGGATCATTATCAGCATCGTGGGAGAGACACCGCAAGCCGCCGTGGAGGGGCGTGGGGCGACAAAAAATTGGTCTTCTATCCTTCACCCTTTCAACCTTGATATGGAATTGATCTTCGTTGTCTGGCAGACGATAGGAGTAGGATAGTTGATGGTGGTTGTTGCTGCCTCGGGCGGGAGGTGGGTTGGTTAGGGAGTAGCTTGAAGAAGATGCCTTCCGCCAGGATAACACATCATTCCCAGGAGGTCAAATCTTCCCTAAGGGAAGGATTGACCTCCTGCGAATGATGTGTTATCCTGGCGAATCAATGCCCCTGCTCTCTTTGGACAATTGTAGTACGACACTTTCACACGTTATTGCATAAGGGATGCTGGACTTGGTGTCCAGATCACACATACCACATCATTCATAGGGTTTCATGTTTAGGGTTGATTGATTCTGATCACACACATCACATCAGTGGTAGGGTTGTGTTTAGGGTTGATTGATTCTGATCACACACATCACAGCAGTGGTAGGGTTTCGTGTTTAGGTTTGATTGACACAGCGCACATACATTCCATTTTTGTTCGGGTGTCGTGGATTTACATCAGTGGTAGGGTTTCGTGTTTAGGTTTGATTGATACAGAGCACATACATTCCATTTTTGTTCGGGTGTCGTGGATTTACATCTTTGCTAGGGTTTCGTGGCATGTCCACTCCGTAATAAAAAGAGATTGACAAACATATACAGGCAATTATAGGATGCTCACTAGGAATGTACAATCATCACTGTATAGGGACGCTGGACCCGTTTTCCAGCTCATACACATCACATCTTTTTTTTTTTTTTTTTTTTACGTTCAGAAAACTTCATCAGAAAATTTCATGAAGATGAAACAAGGAACTACTAGAAAGTTCTAATTGGCCTAAGGGTGGAAATTTAGAAATTGAGATACCGGGGCCATTACCCGGCTTTGGCTCAAAAAAATTGAAGCTACTTCAGACATGTCTATGACAACTTCATGATTAAGCAGAATTCAGAAACGACTCAGAAAAAACCCCATCAATCCACTTTACCCCACTCCGGCAAGACTGACTGCAGCGGAGCCACCATCTCTGCTGCTGATATGCCACACTCTTATCCTGCCAGCTAGCCCCCTCACTGGTAGGACGCGTGATAACCCACCATCTTCTCCCACACTCCTTATTTTCTTTTTGAAGTACCTAAGAACTCTTACCGTCGCTCAAGAAGCATGAGAATAGGCCACAGAGGTCCTACGATTGTTCCCAAACCCTCGAAATCCCACACAAACCCTTCCAATGTTCTCCAAAACTGTCGTACTCCCTGCCAATCTCTTCTAGGTCTCACACCCCCACTTTCTCTTGGGTTACAGGGCAATGCGACTCACCCCAGCTTCGACCAGCGTCGTCCCGGCAGCAACCCTTGGTTGTCCCGTGGAACGCCCACCCCAAGACATCCCCAAATCTCTCTACCAGACCTCACGCTCCTGCATCGCAGGTTACAGGGCAACACCCCAGCACCGGTCAGCGTCGTTCTGGCATCAAACAACCGCAGATCACTGAGTATAACAACATTGAAGCCACCTAAGACGAGTTAGTAGGGATCCCAGAGTCCTCAAAAACATTCCTGGGCAAAAGTTGTTCAGTTTATTTTTCTGCATAACATTGGTTCTTTTTGGATTTTTTGGAATTGTTTTTTTTTTTTTTTTTTTTTGCCGAGACCTTCCTTGGTCCTTGCACAGGCTGGCCACTCGGGACCTGGGCGGCCTGGCTGGAAGCCTAGTATATATATATTTAATTTTATTTAAATCGATTTAGTTTTTGATTTTTAAAAAATCTTAAACAAAGTCATCTTAAAAAAAAAAAAAAAAAAAGGAGTGTAGGGTTTTCCAAGCCCTACACCCCCATTGTTTTTTATTTTATTTTTACGTATTTTTAGGGGTCAAAAGAAAAATTAAAAGAAACAGGCTGCGGATTGGGCCTTATCAGCCACGGCCGTGACCGAGATTCTCGGCCGCAGCGGCCGAAATGCCTGCGGCCTAGGCCGCGGGTGTCACATAGCTGGTGGGCGCCCCTCCATCCTCCCCAGCACCTCGAGCGGGGTCTTGCCGTCCCCGACGAGTAGACTTCCCTCCTCGAACATTTTGAAGAACCTCTCCACCAGTGGCCAGACAGCGTCGGAGGATGTGGCGAGGTTCACGTACCCTTGGAGTTTGTTACTCCAATCCTTGTTATACTCGTTCTCAAGCGCGTGTTGCACAAATCCCTTGTCACATGCCTTCCTCAAGGAAGGACACCCTGAGGAAGTTTTGCAACTTGTCCTCGTGTGCGGCGGCGTCAGGGTCATCCTCAATCACCTTAGACCTAGGAGCCTCAATTTTATCGTTACTGAGCCACCATTGCCGCATGTCTCGTGAAGCGTCTTGGAAGGACAACACCATGATGCAATTATCCCTTGTGTTGTCGAAGGGCGAGATGTTGAAGTACCCTCGTGTTTGGTTGTCGTCGAAGTAGACGACTCGCATTTTAGAGTACGTGTGAAGGCTGTAGACTCTAACAACAGCGAAGCCCTTCGCTACCAATCTTTTTATGGCCTTTGTTGTATGCTGAGCGCATACAGCGTAACAAAAGAACTCGGAAGGGTCCCTTCACATAAACTCGTCTGGCGTGATTCGCCTTCCCTGCTTGCCGACGACGTCGACAAGATCAATCGGTGTGAGGACGAGCTCTGGCCTATCCCACGACCCTGGCTCAGTTGTAATGGAACACTGAATGACATTCTCAATCCCGCGTATGATGTCTTCAGACAGCAAGTGGTGGTTGAATAGAATCTTCCCACGGGGAATGCATTTGATATTTACGACGTCGACAGTGACAACGCGAGAGCCGCTCCTTGCAAAACCCTCGTCGTCCTATTCGAGGAAGAAACAACGCATTGTGTCAATGACTGCGGACTACATGGGTTGGTCAACACCCTCGGGCAGGCGTGTGTCCCCCCCTCACCCTCGTCCTTCGAGTCCTGCAGCTCGGGTGCCTTCATTCTCTGCGAGCCTTTCCTGCCCCTGCCACACCCACTGCAACGACTGGTCGTTCGGCCCCCCATGTCCTTTTCCCAGAAGTCCGTGCTTCCTGGGATATTGTCAATGCATCATGAGTCTCGCTGGATGCAATAGTCCTTGCGTCTTTTGACTCGCAGGAGAGGAAGACCTCGCACCCCTCTTCCTCTTTCCGATTGATCATTTTGTATGACCCCCACCCCGTCCCTCTTGTTGGGACTGCACCACTGTCTGGAAAGTCGTGAGCTGGTCACTGCCTTGTTCTTCATCACCAATGTCGTACGTGTAATCGCCATGCCACTCAGGCGCCCCTTCGTTGTCGTGTTGGCACGTTGTTCGAATTGGTTTTCTCAGACCTCTTCCCAATCCACATCTCCCTCATTGCCCCTGTCGTCGTCACCATCATCCACATTTCCACCATTACCCCCGTCCTCCTCTTCACCATCGACATTTCCCCCATTACCCATATCATCGTCTTCATCCACGACGCTTGTTCCAAGTTGGACACGATGTTGGGCAGTGGACTCACGACACATGACATGATTGTCGTATTCGGTGGCCTCGCTGGAGGGCTCCACGTTGTCATCCACATACCCGGCTGAGGGCGAACCCGCAACCAGAAGAACCTGCACAATAACATTTCATGACATTGGGCCCCTCACCAACTGCTTCCTCCTCCCACCGATTCTAGCCGCTAGCTCTTGGCGTCGTTTAGCACCCACCTCAATGGGCACAAAAGCGCGGTCGACCTGTTGGTTAACAAACAACCTCGGAAGCCGTTGCCGGTATCGCATAACAACACTTACAAGTTGTTTCGCCCGACTGTTAAAATGAACCAAAAGCCACTGTCAATGATGGGAAGGCTGCCAGTGACGCGGTAGCCATTGGTTTTGGAGAGGAACTACTCCGGCGGCAACATTTGAAACTCAGTGGCATCTCCACGCACGTTAAATGCTTTCATCGAGAAGGCCTTGATGCCATAGCCTTGGAATAGCAGAAGGTGGAGGAATACCTTCTTGTCTTCCTTGACCCAGTTTTTCTCCGTGCTGCCATATACTAGCGTAAGGAAGGTGGTGCTAAACTTCCTCCTATCGTAGTTAGCCCTCCTGGTTTCAGATTTCTCAACCCCTCCACAACAGTATCCACTCTCACTGTTGTTATCGCTCAAGAACACAACGGCTCCGCAACCCCGTTGATGAAGACAGTCAGCCCAATCCAGAGCCTAAGGCTTGTCGTTGTAGATTTTCTACCTACCGTACGAATGTTTATTGGGGGCGGAGGTGGAAGCAAGAACTTTTCATGAACAGACACATGGCAAAGAATAAAACAATCACCAAAGAGGATTCTGCAATATGAAGAACATACTGTTTTTTGTTAAGGGACTGAAACACACATTGGCAAAGGGTCAGACAGACCCTTCGACCATGTCATCAAAGGAAGGGTCCAGCGGACCCGAAATGTCAGACCCCTTCCCCAACAGTGCACCGGGCAGAAAAGGCCCGGCGGATCCAGAATGTCGGGTCCTTTGCACCCAAGGCACACGTTAAGGAGGGGGGCCTGGCGTTCTAGGTTCGACGAACCCCCTCTCCTTGACACCACGGTGAAAGAGACCGACTCTCTTTGAAACCCCCACAATAACGCGTGTCTTGGGTGTGGAGGGTCCGGTGTTTTAGATCCCCCGGACCCCCCTCTTTTACACGCACCTCGAGTCCGGCGTTCAGGATCCACCCGACCCTTCCTGCCCTGTGTGAAGGAAAGGGGGTCCAAAGGACCCCCTTCCCCAACAGCGCACCGGGGAGGAAGTGTCCTGTATATCTAGAACACCTGACCCTCCCCACCCAAGGCGCGCGTTATGGAGGGGGCTCCGGCGGATCCAGAATGTCAGACCCCCTCTCTTTGACACCACGTTCAAAGCGACCGGCTCACCCGGGGTGCCAAATTCCCACATCTTATCGCCTGGTCTCTTGCACGGGGTCCGTCGTTCCAGATGCGCCGGAACCCCCCCTCAAGATACCAGGCAAAATGATGTGGCACTCTGGCGCCCCGGGCTGGCCGGTCCCTTCTACAATGGACCAGTGTGAAGGAGAGGGGGTCCAGTGGACCTAGACCCCCCCCCGCCTTAGCTTGCACCTCGGGTGCGGAGGGTCCAGC